CCCATTAATGTTTCTATATTATGCAAAATTGACTCTTGTTTCATTCACACACCCTGTATTATTCTTCATTCTACATCTTCAAAACTCAAAATGCTTTATTCCACCTTGTGATGTCAGGTAGTGGTAGTTTGCAGGTTATCAGTTACTTTTTTACCTTTAATTCAGTAGTGATTGTCAATTCCAGGGCTGAAATTATTCAAATGATTCGAGTGAAGGCGTATGGAGTTTATTAACACAATGGAGCACTTCCTGTATTACCACATGACATCTCAAAGTGGAACAGAGTTTTCTGTTTAAGAGAAGAACTCAGCTTAAATATGAATATGTGAATGGAACAAATCACAACTCTGGATGTGTTGTTGATGATGAAAGAACATAAAAACATAGATCAGAAAATAATGTAATAAGGGCCTTTTAAACAAAATGACAGTTTTCAGATTATACATTTACTATTTAAATGACCAAAATGAGATTATTATTAAAATAAAAATAAATATTACATCAACATCCCTACATACTTTTTCACTGTCTTTTAAAAGGCCTGTATGAGGACAGAGTTCATAACAATGATAATGCATACTGTCTATAAGATTTCTCATTGTTCAACTGAAATCAACGCTCAAAAGCAGGAGAGGTGAGTGACAACTTAAATGGCTCTCAAAAGGGCTAATTGTTCACCTATGAGCAAATCTTGTACATTTACATTTTAGAAATTGCAATGCCAATATCTGATAATGCAACAGTAAAATAGTTAAACAGTTAAATGCTGTCTGATAGTGTGCCAGCTTTAAGGCCAGAGAGCAAAGGTGAGATTGAACTATAAGGTGAGGTGAGACGATGGGTAACAGGTTTCACACGTACTGGTAAAAAAAAAAAAGTTAATAATAATAATAAGGGTCTGGACATATGAGGAACATTGTGATTAATCGAACAGGTATCCACACGTCAAACTCCGCCCACAGCCAGGTGTTTGCGCTTAGAAACACCTAGCTGTAAGCAGGGCAGTCTTTTGTGCTGTAACCAACTACTGGAAATAGGCTCTATTCACGCTTACGTCACAAACCAGGAAGACGTTTGGAAAGATGTGATTACAACCTCCCAGGCCAAGTTTTCTTCATCTAAATGTCATTGGAGCGTTCTGTTGCGTTCAGCTATTCAACAATTACAACCATACCTCATTTTTCATCATTTCTCCACTGACGCACAACTCCGAGCGCACTGGGTACATGCGATTAGAAGAGATGACGTGGCCAAATTCAAGACTTCATTTTACCATTGATCACATTTACTTCAGTGGGTTTGATCACAGTCGGTTTGAATAGATCCATGTTAGGCGAGCCCAGTGTCGATAACTACACTGAAGTTGTAATCGCCCTAACCCTAACCCTTTCCATACGTCTTCCTGGTTTGTGACGTAAGCGTGAATAGAGCCCAGAGGTTGGACCAAGTCTTTGTTTTGCAAGTAAGTCTCAAGTCTTTGAACTCAAGTCCGAGTCAAGTCCCAAGTCAAAGACAAGCAAGCCCAAGTCAGAGTCTCGAGTCACTGGCCCGTAAGTCCAAGTCAAGTCCACGTCATCTGATTTGAGCTTTAAGTGATTTCAAGTCTTTAAAACAAAGTACCAGATTTTTGCAGTTTAAATGAATTTTAAGCTCAATTACTATGTATGTATTACTATGTACTATATTATGTACTTAAAAAAAATCATAGTATATTTATATATGAGTATTTATGTAAGATTTGTAGAAATTAATTTAGTTAATTTTTCCTTTTTAAATGTCTTGACAAGATATTAGTGTGAATCATTATGGTCATAGTAAAAAGAATTCAGATTTAAAAGTGCTTCTCAAGTCTTCTCAATTAGTCACACTTGCAAATCCCCGCCTCTGATAGAGCCTACTGCAGAGGCCACTCAAGACAGCACAAACTTAAGTGTTTTTGACAAGAAAGTTGCAAATTTACCCAGTTTGTGCTAAAATTGCCAAGAAATTGTAGATGATGCCACTAAAACACTATGTAGTTTATTAGGGAAAACAAAGTGGATTTAGCGTTTAGCTCCACTTTAAGTTAAATAAAAAAGTGACATTATTGAGCTGTGGTTTGCAAGAATTGGTTGCAAGCCCATCATTGATTCAATTGACATGAAAAAAAATAAATAAAAATTATGATAAAATAACATTTTCTTTTGCAATGGGACCTACCTGGACAGACATAATTACATTTTAACATGAAATCAACATGCAAAATAAGTCTTTCAGTCGATTGCCAGAAACTGTAAATTGAACCATTAAACGTACAATAATAAAAAACACCATTATTTATTATTATATCGAGTCTCAATTCATTTTCAAGCACCACGGCGCCTTTTATAGCCTCTTCTCGACCTGGAGTGCTCTGTTGTATTTACGATAATCGGCAGCACCCTCACTTTGCTGACAAATCATGTACTTTCCTACCTCTCTTGGGTGCCCCTTTTCGTCTCTCTCACCGCTATAAACCACAACACTTTTGCCCCTCAGTACTCATAATAAAAACTAATTTGGTTTCTGGGGAATTCAGGCCAACTGAAACTGAGAAGTGGCACCGACTCTATAGGCTATATACTATCCTGTTGTGTTTTTGCCATTCCTCTCATTAGTATTGATGTTTTGCATGCACATCACGCTGGGGTGTTTCCATGGTGACACAATGCACACATTAGCGCTGCCAAAAAGTTTTAAGATAGTCTGAAAGATCAAGAAAAAAACAGAAAATAGATTGAAACAACACACACATTTGCAGGAGCCTGTGACCAGACTCAGACTTCCAAAAGGGAAATTACTTGAACACAGTAGCTCACACATCACAATATAAGATAATAACAAAGAGAAAATTAAACAAATGATAATAATAAATTCTAAATAAGTAGCAAAAACAAAAAACAAGCGTCCATGGTCCTGTTTAGGTGTTTCATTTTCCAACAAAAAGACTATTAGGGATGTAACAATAACCAAATTCACTAACTGTAGGACCACACCAACAACAACACAGTGCTAAGAAGTTTATTGATAATGTACGAAGCGGGGCAGAGATGGCTGGGTTGAGACTCTAGGTGGGAGCTCCGTCTCAGTTTTCAATTGGCCCAGCTGGAACGGGACCCCCCTCGTAAGGATCTTATGACTGAAAGATGAACAAAATAGGCTAGCCGAGACAAACTGGGATGATGGGAAAGGCTGCTATATAAAGGCTTCTGGGAAATTAGAGGTGTGGTCGAGGTGAGTTGTGGTTCGCTGGTGAGAGGAGAGGGCGGTTGAGGCGTGGTCCTGCTCCTGAATCTCAGTTAATCATATTAACTACATATGTCGTGATATCGTATCGTCATAGTTCTCACAATAATATCGTGGACCATCACAATATATCGAATTACAGTCTCTTTGCTTAAATTAAGAGTTATGTCGCAGCAAGAGCTAAAAAAAGACAGAGGAACTACACAGACCATTATCTTTTGCTCCATTTCATTGTAGACTACAAGAAGAAATAACAGTTCTAATCATTTTAACTCTTAGTTTTTAGGATTAAGTCTTGTCAAGGCATTTTAAGAGGAAAAAGTAGCATATTAACAGTTTTGCCTACACAAAATACCACAAAATATCGTACCGTTAGGTGTATATCGTGAAAATATCATACAGAGAGATTTGGATATTGTTACATCACTAATTGTGAGCCTCCACACCATATTGTGAGCTTTCCCACAATATCGCAAAAAATGTCCAATCTTAAGGATCATACTGTCATGATATCGTATCATGAGACTAGAATATCGTTACACCCCTACTGACTATGCTTTCATGTACAAGGGACTTGCTTAACAGCACAAATCATCTAATCTGTTAAAATTCTAGCTAAATCAGCTCTTTATTATTATATTAAAATAAAGCTCATATTAAACTCTAACTAAGCCTCAGATAGAGCAGTGCCTCTAGTTAGCATTAGCTGCGAAATATCAATAGCCAGCCACTTTTTGCAGATTTTTCTTTTTGACCTCTACCTGGCCTTTTAAAACTAATTAATGGTTAGCTGAAAAGTTCACTTGTATTAAGGATCTTAAAACTCCGTCAATGGTTAAACTTCCAGAGTAATTATAAAACTCAATTTCAACCCAAAAGATCTACTGTTTTGTCAATGCAACTGTAACTCCTGCAAACTATAACTCCTTTTCACCATCAGCGATAATTAGAGAATCAATACTGGCAGGGAAAAGATGTTAAGTGGCTTTGTGCACACGGAACAGTGAGTTGAGTCTGAAATGTATTGCTGAACAAAGGAGTATTGATTAGTTATCCATTGTGATTATAGGAGTAACTTGTGTCATTAGTGTAAATGGCGAGGCTCAGCAGCGGGTCTGTGCTTACATAGCATTGCACTGGCCATTATACGAAAGGTAGAGCAATCAGTGCTCAGTGTTAGATGGTGGTTTGTCATTTTTCAACATTATGTTTCATTATTCATAAATTTATGAAAATAATTAATAAAAGTACATGTGGAGGATGGATGTCTTCATTAAACTAAAGAGTAAATGTATTGGCTGATGTCTGGTGCCCTCTGGTGGTCACTCCACGGTTATGGCAGCTAACTTACTAATTACTAACTAATTACTACAAAGGAAAAACACACAAAAATTACTTCATAATTAAATACAATACTTATGTTAGCCGTTATGTGGTTTGGAATAGTTGTTTTTATCTTTTCTTTAATTTGCATATATATTTGCAATGCATGGAAAGTCTGTTACTTCAAGCTTACAGATTGCCTTTTTATATGGAAATACATTAGGCTACTGTTCCTGAGACCCATACTCAATGAGCACACTTTATAGAGGCCAAAAGATATAGCTCTATTGGTATGCAACGTTGACAACGAGAACTTAACATGACCTTTTGAGTTTTCAAATGTCATGTGAGGAGTGCTTTATAATTTACAAAAAAGAAGAAAAAAAATTATATATTTAAAAGCATTGTCAATTTATTGGCAGTATAAAGGCAGAGTTAGAAAAATACATGTTTACCCACAAATACAATTGTGTTTGGACATATACAGTCAGCAGGAAATGAGGGAATTTAAACAGCACTATTTCTGCGGTTCACTTTTTTCTGAATCGCCTATGAAAAGTATATTTAGTTTACATAGCAAAATGGGTTAGTATAGTATTTTTATACTATTTTATATATATATACTTTCTTCCTAATGTCAACCCTAATACTTCTCATCAGTCACTTAAAATTACCTGTGGCAAAAATAAGCATGTGTTATATCAGTCACAGTTTTTGCATGAAGAGAGAACTCTCTGAAGTGGAATGCAAATACCCCAATATTGTATTTGACTAAACTGCAGCAGCAAAATAGCTTTCACAATGTAACACAAGTACATTTGTTTATTGCGGTAACTTAGGTATAAAAGGCAGTGATGACTGTGAATAGCTGGTGTCATTTATCCAATTATATATTTTTTGTAATTTACTAATTGTCTTTATCATCCTAAAACACTCCTGGGAGAAGCCGGTAAGGTACTGCATCTGTATACTTTTTCCAGTCTTTACCATATTTACTGCTGCACCGATGCTCATCCCTCACACATCGGTGAACAAGCAGGATGGTCATGTAAACAATGTAGAAGTATGGGAGCAGGTGACCGAATCCACAAGCTGCACAGTAGGCCAGTGACCCCATCAAGTCCCCCGTGTAGTTAAAATGCCTGGCCACACCCCAGAATCCAGAGGTGAGAAGTTTGCTTTTGTGTACCCCACCATCTGATGAGCGATAAGAGCACTCAATGTAGGAGGGCTTTCTTCCCCAGATGGTGCAGGCTCCCTCTGTGCGTCTGAACAGGTCCTTCTGGTGGTTGGTGGAGCGGAAGATGTAGTAACCAGCCAGGCCCAGAAGCAGGACTGAAAGGGCGTGGGCGTCGGACAGCTGGACAGGGTGGTAGACCAGATACAAGCCCTGAAAATGCAGAAGGACATGACGGTGAAGAAACATAAACAAAATAGGATATAGTAGTTACATGACAGTAAAAAATACGTTATACAAAAGGTTCAAGGTACAGTTCAAGCACTGATAAAATGCTACAGTTTCTATTAAAACTCAAGCTTTCATTATATAACTGGTTCATGGTTTTTCAACTTCCTATGTAATGCTATTTTGAAGACTTTTCACTATCAAAAATATAATATTTTATTTTGAATTGCTATGGCATCACTGCTAGTTTTCCATTACTCTGCAAATCTTACTGGACTGATACTGATACAACACCCAAGGGCAATAACGGTTTTCCCCTTGATGAAATTCACCAAACATTCTCTTTGTTCCAGCTTTAAATCCTTGATCCTGGGAACAGTTGACAACACTGAATATATGACTCTTCGCTGATCTGATTTTTGTTTTTTTGTTTTAGTCTTTTTATACTCTATATTCATTATTTGATTATATTTGTATTGAATCTTAATATTAGATGTGTATTATTATGTCATGATATTTATAATATTAAATATTTTCTATAATTCTATGCACTACAGTTTGTGTTATTTGTGGGACCAATAAAAATACTATTATCATATTTTATTTTGTCTAAAGATGAAGAGGAAAAAGTATACCACTCTGCTGCTGATAGAGTCCTTCCTTTCAGTATTGTATGGTAAACTAAATTCCACATAAGATGAAGGTTATTCATTCTAACACATTATTTAAATGAGTGTAAGTACCTGCAGCGTGTAAAGATATGGCAACCACACACAGTCTCCCCAGCCCAGGTACCATCCAAAGTGATCATGGCAGATATCAATGGTCTTCAAGTACCACGCCTCGTTCCAGAAGAAATCCAAGACATAAATAGCCTAAGATACAAAGTTAGACAATTAAACACGACATCATAAAAATAATTAACCATAACAGAAAAAAATGCATTGTTGTTATGTCCGTACTGTATATTTTGCATTATATATATATATATATATATATATATATATATATATATATATATATAAATATATATATATATATATATTTTCAGTCAACGTTCATTTTTATTTAACACCGTATTTTTGTATGCCTTTATTTTACCATTTATGTTGTACCACATTGTCAAAGCAAGTTACTATTTTCTGTTCATGCAGTTTTGTTATGCTCCATTTCACCTACTTTTTTTAATCACTTATACATAACTCCTTACCTGTAAAACATTAACTAGGATCATGGAGTTTGTGACGTGTCCGTATAGCTCCTGTTGCTTGGCCATGTAGGACAGGTTGATGAGAGTCCAGGCCACAATTCCCGGTCGACCGTTGAAGAAGAGCTTAAAATCAAACCACTTCCCAATCCGTGGGTTAAACTCAATACCCATCATGTAGTTGTAGAAAATATTTCCGGTGAACTTGCTGTAAAAAGACAAGTGAAAAGACAGCAATCAGAAAATGTCACACCAGTTTGTATAATATTGAAACAAAGTAGAAATTGTAGAAATGTTTTCATACATTGTAAATATTGGGTTTTTCTACACGCTTAGTCATCTGGTTCTAACCCAGCAATCTGTGCTATAGTCATAGTACCACTGCTACTACTACTACTACTACTACTACTGCTACTGCTACTACTACTACTACTGCTTCTAGTATTCCTATTATAGGGTCTATAGCCTGTTACAATGGCATTAAAATGATCTATCTTGCATTAATTTTAATAGCAGGTATTTTTAGAGCTAAAAATTGCGTAAAAACTGCATTCTTACGACGAGCATGGTTACTTCTCCTCAGATTTGAGGTGTAACTTAACCTGGTAGCGTCACCTGCTTGTCTACTTGGGGATAGCGGCCCCTCCACCAGAAAAGTTGCTTACTGCACCCTTAAGTAAGGTATACTTACCTACTTCAGTATACTTTGTTACAATGTGTTGATAAGTTTAGACAATATACTACATAGACAGTTTACTCTTCATTTACCTTTCCCTTGATTAGTTTTCTAAATCACATTTTTCTCCAGTGAGCTATCTGTACAAAATGAAAATGCCAGAGAGCTACTAGTCTTAAGAAATTGAGTATATATAAGAGCCATGGCAAGCCTTAGACATACAGTTAAATGCCTATAAAACAAACTATTATCCATTTATTAGTGCACAAAGTTAGGAATCAAAATGATACATGTGCAATGGTAAAAGGCATTTAATTAATCCGATTTTACTTATTCAGCACAATACGTGTAATTCAGAAATCCCTTGGCAAGCTACTTGGAAGGGAGTGGAGAACTACCAGTAGCTCCCAAATTACAGGTTGGAGACCCCTGTTCTAAATACAGGGTGCCAATAATACAACTCCTTTTGTACAATAAAGCTTAAAACACAAATATTAAAACTTATTTCCCGGTGGAGACACTTACCAGTCTTCTGCATTGGTGGGGAACAGATAGGCCTTTACAAAAGCGAAGGTGGACACAGCATAGCCCAGTATGTTGGTGCACCACAGCAGGGGGATCCAGTTGTCAATGATGATTGTGGGAGAGAACCAGTGGAAGTAGTGGGCATTGGCAAACCACAGTGCATGAGTGATGAGCCAGCACTGCAGACCGTTGATCTCGTATTTGTTTATGAGACCTAAAATAGATTAGAAATGAAGTTTGCTTGCTCTTTCCATGGGTTTCAGAAATGATGGATTGTTTGGACAGCTGTCATAGCAATTAATAGATACAAAATATTACAAAATGTTACAACAGGAAGCAAGCTCATGGTGTGCCTTGATGTAACCTGGGACAGAAGGAATTTTTTTCTTTGTATTTAGAAGGAAACTAAATACAGAGTTGAATATTTTTGATAGCATTGGACATATTTATCTTATTTAAGCGGTAATTTAAGATGTGATTACATAACATTGGAATATCTCAAAATGTGCTGACATAAAAAAAAAAAAAAGGGAATTTCCTATCACTTTAGTTTCATGTGAATAAGCTTAGGAGATATTACCACAAGAAAAAAACTGCATATAGGCACAGTAGTAGTCTATCTAGGGCTGTACTTAGCAAAATATGGGAAAAATGCATTTCGACACCTGCGTAATACTTAGAAACAAAGTTATTTCATTATAAATTGCAAAGTTATACATCAACTACCCACTGACTAATGCATTAAGTCTTGAGCTGCTGAGCTGAAAAAGTGAATTATTGTAAAATCATTTGTATTCTGATATTAAGAGTATTATGAATATAGATTACCTGCAGGTGTACGTGCTCCGTCCTGGACCCCACCAACATATCCTGGGATTATTTTGTGAAGAAAATCCGGTATACACATATACAAGAACACCTATGGAAGACATCACCATTCAATTTCAATTCAGTAATCCAAATTTAAGTGCATATGACTAGTATCTGTGGTGTATATTTATCATTTATCATAGTTTCAGTTAAAGGTGAACTGTGTAACTATTCGGCTGGAGGTCCAACGCCTTCTTGTTTCTAAGAGAGATGCCATTGGTCTGTGTGGAATGTTCCGCAATGTGACATCAAACAGCTCTACCTTACATTTATTTAATTACAGGTGGTTTTATTGCTCAAAAATACCTAAAAAGGCATTCTCACCTCATTTTTAACTTGGTCTGGTTTGGTTGCCATGAAGATAGAAATGTTTAATGCCATACTGTGAAACATTTCGAACAAAGCAATAACATCTTTATGAAGAAAAGCATTTGACGGACCCTCCACCACAATGCACCTTTAAGTGGCAGTTTGTGGGAAAACGTTGAGAAAAAAGTACAAAAATACAAGAAGTAGTGAGTTCTAAAACGGAAGACCTCTACCTGACATGAACAGCAAAAATTCAACCCAAAGTGCAGGGACAATTTACAAGCAAGAACACATTTTTCTGGCAGTATAAACCATCACTCAACAAAATAAAGGTGTTGTCATTTATTCTTATTAGTCTAATCATAATTATTGTGGAACTGAGACAAGTTTAGTCCTGTCGTTAGTTATGGAATTACCTCTTCGTATGTGACACTTGGGGAGGGAATTTTAGTAAAAATCTACATCGTCAGTGAAATGATGAGTAGTTTAACCTGTCATGTGCACTATTAAAAATGTGCTTTGAACTAATTTCTGTGTCTTACCTGGAAAGAGACCCAGATGGCATACACTTTGGCAGCAGACCATGTGAAGGAGGGCGAGCGCTCAAAGATGGAGCGCAACGTGGCCTCACCGGTGATCAGGTCCAATATCGGCTCAGTCACAGAACACCGGTACTGGTCACACGCCATTATAAAGTAAAAAACAATGAAGGGGGCAAAGCAGAGCAAGAAGATGACGCTCATTAAGGAGAACCAGTCCACCTCCCTGGAACATACAAAGGGCGATAGTATTTACAATGCCCTCTACTAATAATAGCACCTCTGAATATTACTTGTAAGTAGTGATGAAGGTAACTTGGTGTTCTAAACATTCTGACCTCATCACTCAACAAAGTAATGTCTTCTCCAGCAGTAATTTGTGAAGATTTTTGGTCACCTATAGACTCATCCTGCCATTGCATTATGGTGAAGATCCAGTTTACAAGGTTGTAAGATTATAAATTACTAGATTTTTAAAAAGGAAGTGTATATAAGATTTGGATTTTAAATTTCATAAACATAATTTCTCTGGGTCCCCACATACAAGACAAAGATGCTCAAATCAAATAGCTCTTACTGATAGCAAATGTAAATAATTGTAATTCTGAATTACTCTGAACATGATGGTGAAGTTTTTATGAATTTGGTGTTTTGGTTCTGGAGGTTCTGAGCTTCCACATGAGAAAACTTTGTATGACCTCTACATGTAGGGTGATGGTTGATTGTAGTTCCTTTTTTAAAACTGTAAAGAGTGGAGACTACTTTTTTTTTTTTTTTTAACTGCCCGAATGTTGCCAGTTGTGATTAATGCATTTATTGTTTCTTTGTGGTCAGGATACTAAACTAATACAATAACTTATAATAACTTGGATGAATCATATTGTTTCCATGTATTCTATTTAATAATCTTTTATGTGTTGAATTTTTGTAATGATATAAATTCCTTTTGGTCTTCTACATCTGTGCACATGTCCCTGTACTCACACCTGATTGGTCCATGTTGTTTTTTTCTAACTCTAAATCAGATCTTACACTGATTCAGAGCGAGATAGCTATGTGGAGTCCCAACCTCTTTTCACTGATATAAATCTCTAAGTTTGCTCAATGTAATACTGAATTTAGCCCAAACCCAGCCTAAACCGGCTTTTAGCAACAGGCCTCACATTCTTAATGGGTGAGGTGTCAAGCCCAAGGACACAGCAACAGTATGCACTGATTGGAGCTGTCAACAATTCCACTACCTGAGCCACTTTCAAGGATGTATTTTTTTGTAGTGGGCAGGATATACCTACATTTAATTGACTTCAAATTAATGTGTAGACCTAGTTAAGTTAGGACATGGGCTTTTACTGTAGTCACTAATACTGACCATGCTCTTCCCCACTGCCCTGGCTCCTCCACGTGATTCTTAGAGGATTTGCCATTGGTGCTGGGCTGTGTGCGTCTCTTGGTGGCCTCTGTGCTGCTCATCTCTGGAAAAGGACCATAATAACAGATTAAAATCTTTGGTACAGCTGGACATTGCACTTTGGATGGTAACAAAACACTAATGAGACCATCAATACCACAAATCTAGTTCAAATAACATAATTAATATGTAACGTATGGTCTCGGACATGAAGCTGAATTTGTGTAATAGAAAACATAAGACATGTAAGCCATTTCAACACTAGACACAATCTTGTTTAAACATGTTAACTCCTGACAGTTATAAAAGCCAAGTCATATGGGGTTAGCCTACTTTACTACACTTAACCCCATGATGATGCTACAACGAAAAGCAAAGGGTGGGAAAAGAAAGCATGCATGCAAAATGTAAAAGACTACTTCTAGATTGTAATTCACTTCTTAAAAATAATAAACACGGCTGTCAAAATAAAATAAATGCGCAACAATAAGCTTACTACAGAGCAACAACAACCAGATGTGCGGCTCAGTGTACAATTACGCATCCTATTTTGGAGACTACACGACGCAAAACAATCCCATATCCAAATGATACACAATAGACGGGCTGTATTTTACTCACCTGCTCCAAAGCGTAATCCAAGAAGCAAAGACGCGCTTTTCTCTTTTCCTGCCTCCCTAGCGGTGCAGCTTGAGGTCTCACGTAACACACGGGTTACGAAACTACGCCCATAGCGCCACGACGTACGAAGAATCCACCAATAGGAAGTAAGGAGAGGCGGGCGCGAGATTTGACTCTGGTCTGTGATTGGAGGATAAAAACTGGAGCGATTTGGCACCTCTCCATTCTCCACTGAATGGAAGATTGCAAAAGGTAAACAGGTGATAACTTAAGCCTAAGGTTATGAAAGAATAATATTAATTGGTAGTTTAACTTTAGATAGTGGGAGGTCAAGTTGTTTCTAATGCATTTATCCATTTGTGTTTCAGACAATAAAGACAGTAAACACGTTTCAAAATAAGCCAACTAAATAGTGTTAGCCCACCCACTGTGAAATGGACAAACTACATCAAAATTGTCTCTTGTGAGCTTTAAGTCGTGTTAGAATGTTCTTACCTCATCATAAACATACCTGGAGTTGTCACATTCACATATGTTTGACTAACACTTTTTTTTTATCAGTCTGTCTACATCTCCAAAGCTCAGAATGCTCTGTTCCACCTTGTGATATCACAAAGCGGTAGTTTTCAGGTTAACAGCTCTTTTTACCTTTAGTTAATTAGAGATTGGCGAGTCCAGGTCTGAAGTTATTCAGATGATTTTAGTGAATATCTATATACAGTTTAAAAACATAATGGAGCACTTTCTGTACTACCACATGACATCACAAGGTTAGGGTGACCAGATTTTTAAAACCATCAACTGGGACACTCCCGGTTTAGATTGGTTGGTAATAATAAAATTGTGAAAGCAGGGCGTAATTAAGGAAAATTGTTATGCTCTCTGCCCATATGAGTCAGCATATTCACATTTTCTTTGTGTTTTGGTAATTTTTAATGCCTCAGTTTCCCAATTTATGCATCTCTTTACTGTTTGCAGGTATCACATTTGTCAACTAGAAAAGCCCTCAGAGAGCGCAGACCTCCGCCAAGGACTACCCCCATTTTTTATATAAATTGTGATAAAATCAGTCTTCTGGATCAGATCCTGATCAGCCTTTGGAATATGAAAGAGGATCCCATTGTCCATCCCTGAGTCAAATTTCATGGGGTTTGGTCAATAATTAACTGAGATATTGAGAAACAAAATATTTGGCCCCATTTATCACAATGTTAACTAAAATTTCAAAGTGATCCAGAATCCATGGATTTCTTCCGGATCACCCCCAAAATGAAATCAGTTCTTCCTTTTCACATTTCCAACAAATCCTGAAAATTTCATCAAAATCAGTCCATAACTTTTTGAGTTATGTTGCTAACAGACAAACAAACAAACAAACAAACAAACAAACAAACAGACAAACGCCGGCAAAAACATAACCTCCTTGGCGGAGGTAAAAATAGGGACACCTGGGACATTTCTTGCATAAAACTGGGACAAATCAATGATTTTGGATCTGTCGGTACAGGGGACACAGAGCTCGAAACTGGGACTGTCCTAGGTAAATAGGGACGTCTGGTCACCCTACACAAGGTGGACCAGAGTGTTTCCTGTTTGAGAGAAAAAGCCCAAATATGCAGGGAGTGATTGAAACAAAACACATCTCCAGATATGTTTTTGATGAGAAACATAAATCAGAAAATAGTGTAATATGGGCCATTTAAAGAAAACCTGCCAATAACGTTTTGCTGGTCACAAAACATATCTCAAAATTTTATTATTAAACGTATTGTGCTCAACAAAATAAAGTTTAGGCCTATTTAGTTAACGCCTTACAGCCTGCTAAAAATACAACTGAAATACTTTAGGTCTATCAGCATATAGTATGAGCACTAGCCGCTGCTTTTACTCCTACTTTTTATAAATTATTTAGAATATTTTATGAATTGTTAGTAGCAATTATGCATTAGTATTGGTTATGCACTTTACTCCATGCCCACATGAGGGCGTCATTTCTCTTTTCTTCTTACCTTCCTTTTGACTGTTGATTGTGTTCTGTTTCCAGTGGCTGAAAGGATGGGTCAAATGCAGAAGACACATTGTAAGACAAAGTGCATTGTTATAAGGTGTAGTATATCTCTACTAAATAAACATGTAATCAAAATTTATTTTTTGGGAGAATTAAATCATGCCACTGTACATGCAACTCCAACTTCAGGTTTATTTTTGTTTTTCTCCAGACTTCCACCCCTGCGTTTTCTGTCTACTCCATACGTTCTGTTTCTACTGCAGTCTTTGATGTGACGCCTTGTGGCTACGCTGCATCCAGACAGTGAGACGTATCTGGGACAAGACACAGACATGGCCTCATAAGATCCCTTCAATCCAAGAAGAAAAGAAGAATGAGGTTTGTTGCGTTGTTTGCCACTTGCTCTTTTTTTTTACACTGTTAAAAGTTTAGATTAGGAAATTTAACTTGCATTTGGAATATTAAAGGACATTTATGCTTTTTGAGATATAGTATTCAGTATTAAACCATGACATATTTAGATCATTAGTATCACAGTATTAATCTAAAACAGCTCAACTAAACTCAACAGATTACTATTGTTTAAATATATAAAATATAGGACCACTAATGTGCATGAATCTAAATATAATACTTAGATTTAGATTTTATTTGCATATAGTGTATAGTAAAAACATTTCAAACAGGTAGAAACAAAACAAAACAAAAAAAGACTGTGCAGGAGAGAATGAGAAGACGTTTTCGGTCTTATAAGATCACCTCCCCTATAAACATGGTTTTAGCACAACAGTCATGAACAGGTAAATTGACACATTAAATATCTTTAGAATTCAATGTTTGTTTTAATTGTCAACTTAAACTGACTTTAGTAATTGAAATGAACTAGTTAAAACTTTAATACATTGCTTCATAAGGCTTCATAGTTAAAAGTATACATATTGTCCAATTGGATATGAAAATTACACTTACCAAAAATATTTGTTTCAAGATAAATTATCATAATCCTGCCAAACATTTCATCCAAAAAAAAAAAAAAAACAAAAAAAAAAAAAAAAAAACAATTCAATCACATGTAAAGCCCCAGTTAGTAAATTTCTGATGGTAGAATGTCACCTGCATGATTCCATGGAAATAGAAAGTTACAACCATACTTTGGAACATTCTGCATGGAGACAGACAGGTTTTAACTCACACTGTGGAATATTACAGCCAAAGGAGCAACATTTCTATAGAAACAAGCCAGAGGAGGCTCTTTTGTGAAGGTTTGTGGAGATTTGTGGAGATGCAAGCCTTTACACAGTAAGGATGCATGTTTTTTTTTTTTTTTTTTCATATTTTTCAGTGCAATAAACACAACCATTTATTTTAGTTTATTTTTGGCTAAAAAGTTATCTGCTGGGGCTTTAATTCATCATTCAAGTCATTTTCTTTTGCTTATGCACTTTTTGTTAGGATTTTTACACATTTTGTGACATTCCATTTTATGAACTAAAAAGGAAATAATGCAGGGTTGAAAATAATATTTGCATGATCAATATAGACAGAGGTGGCAGAGGTACTTGTGCGGTGTGAGGGGGCAGGGTGACTGACACATTCTGCTCTAATCACATCCCCTGAGATGTCACATATCTCTGCATGCATAACTAAATCTGAGCACAAATTCTGAATCCATGTAAACCAAAATGATATGTTCTATTCTGTGTGCTCTGCAAAAACGTTCGCTACATGAGTTAAAATGACTTGAATTCAGAAAATCAAATAAAGTTGTTTAGATGAGATTTGATACATTTAGCCATTTTTGGATAGTTGTGATTGGTTTCAATGCATTTTGTAAGTTTCTCCCAAACATTGTCTGTCCATGTCCAAATGTTTTAAATGACACCAATATTTATTTCTCTAAAAAATAAAATAAAACAGCCAAACAGTCAGAAATATTTAAAAAATCCACCAACCTATTTTTTGTGATATTAGAAACATACATTTAAAAAAAAAATCATAATTGCTTTAAGAAAAGGTCAGATATATTGAAATTTGCGTTTATATTCCAAATTGAAAATCATTCAGCAAGACATTGTGTTTTTGCCATGTATGTGCAGGGGTCTTTGTTGGGCTTCTGAATGTCTGATGACTACAGAGGTCTGGGCTGTATTAGAGACACTGTGCAACATACGTCTTTAATAATTCACTCTAAATTAAAGTGAAAAATTAATGAGAGCAGATCCTGTGTATGTGCTCCCCCTGTTATCCTCCCCCCTCCCCCCTCTGGTTAACACTGATTACACATAAGAACATTGCACTCAACCAAATCTGGTGCAAACGGGATTATATTTGGTTAACTCAGTGATTTATCTCAGTTCAGTGATTTACGTGTTAAGTCCTTTAAGTGTGCAGCAATAGCAGTTTTTGGTTTGCTAAAATCTAGAATGAGATGGACTTGGGACCAGGGGTGTAATGATATCCCAAGTCTCACGATACAATATCGCCACGGTATGAACTCTCGGTACAATATTTTCATGATATATATATATATATATATATGTCAGGGTATGATATTTATTGTGATATTTTGTGGAGGCTAAACAGCTAAAACTGTTAATATGCAACTTTTTCCTCTTAAAATGCCTTGAAAAGACTTAATCCAAAGAACTAAGATTTAAAAGTGCTTAGAACTGTAATTTCTTCATGTAGTCTGCACTGAAATGGAGCAAAGAATCATGGTCTATGTAGTTCCCTCTGTTTTTTTTTTTTTTTAGCTATTGCTGCACCATAACTCTTAATTAAATGAAGATACTTGTAATTCGATATATTGTGATGGTCCACAACATTATTGTGAGAACTATGACGAAAAAATATCACAATATTTCGGTTATTGTTACATCCCTACTTGGGACTAATTCAATTCAAACTGCATCAACAGCACACTGGCAATGCAAAAACAGCAATGCATAGTGCAAATAAAGAAATAAAGGTGGATTATAAGCAGTTTTTTCTCATGTATCCATGAATATGTTATTGCGTTATTGGGACTGGACTAAGTATGGCATTGGACTTCAGTGAGGAGCTGCACGAGTGGTTGCAGTCATTGTACCATATAGTGATTGCAATAGATGGAAATCAATATGTAGTTTTAAAAAGTGGTTCTTGCTTTGTGATTATGTCATGGAATGAACGGACATAGGCAGAATAATAATAAATTAAAGCCGCAAGCGGCGTCGAACGGCCCTCGCCCGCCGCGCCCGCGAACGCCGCGCCCGTGAACACCATGCCCACGAACACCACGCCCGCAATTCGCTCCCCATTCGCTCCGCTTAGCGGAAGCAATAGGCCCTACGCCCTGTCGGGGCTCGGGTCTAATTAATTTACCTAAAATGTACAGAATCAATCACAATAAATACATTACAGTAGGAGCACCCATTTTTAACATAATTTTATTCCCGATGAAGGCACTCTACTCTGCACATGAGTGCCTTGGATTCTTTTGAGCTCCACTACCATTCAACTTTTTATTATTATTATTATTACTATTATTATTTTTACATTGGTAGGTGCTAAGCTAAATCTCTTTCTTTCATTCTCTGTTCTTTCATGATATGTGGCATCATCCTTGAAGAGCACCTGTGCCCTATATCCTTCTATCTGACTCACTAGAGCCCCATTGTAGCACTCGCCTTATCTCTTGTTTTTTATAATCCATCATTATAATCAGCATAGTTTGGTTAAAGATTGGTTAAGCATTTTACGTTCATAGTGACAGTGGTGTTGTTTTGAATGCCTGAGACTACTGCTGACAGAATCCACTGGCAAATGACACAAGCCTCTCCTGGGACCCACACAACACAGCCCAGATGGACATCCTGGTGAGTCATGCTTATTTATAGAACACCAATATTCAGGACTGGCAGCAAAAGCACACCAGTTTGAGAGACATTTACTTACTGTCAGTCAAAAGTGGTGCTTAAAATTACGTGCCCATGGAGACAGATGGCACACCAGAAGTTACATACTGCACATTTAAATTCATGTGTTAATGTTAAAGATGCTGTGTATGATTTTTACCATCTTAAAAACTTGAAAAACAGAAATGGTTAGTTTTAAATGGTTTGTAGTTTTCTTTAATGATTTTACAAGTGCTTTTTGCAATTTTCTGAGGCCATCAGATCACATCATTGACAACATAATTCTAACAACAACTAGGATCCTAACTGCACACTTCTTGCTGTTACTTGCAGAGAGAGCTGCTTATGCAATATATCTGCACTTGGGGCAAGGCTAATTTTACTCAAATACATGGAACTAAAATCAGTTACAGGCCCCTGAAATTGGGTACAGGCATAACATCCCCATGGAGACAAACAGGTGACAGACAATCCATCAAAAAAGTTACATAATGTACCTTTAAGTCCGTCTATTATTAATAAAATACCAAATACCAACAGTGTGTTAATAAAGCTCATGCAGAAAGAGTGAAATGAAGCATCCTTAATGAAGCATAATGAACCATGTGATTAAAAAATAGGTGGATTTTAGCATTTAAATCAGCCCTGCCAAAAAAATTTAATATATTATGCAATTTTGACCCTGCTCAAGCTGTGACCTGGAAACACGAACTATAATTTCTCTCTTGTTAATTGTTGTTGCACCCCCCAGAGAGCTAGCCTTGCGTGTAGCCAGTAATGCTTTAATAATTGGTTGTGATTCTTAAGGCTATTGAAGGTCCCATATTACGCGAAAGTGACTCTTGTGAGTTTTAAGACACGTTATAATACTGCTACCTCATCAAAAACATACCTGGAGTTGTGTTTTATTTCATTCACACATGTTTGAGTAACCCTGCGTTATTATTGTGTGTACAAAATGCTCTGTTTCTCTTTGTGATGTCACGATGTGGTAGTTTTCAAGTTAACGGTTTAGTTCAGGAGAGATTGCACTAGACTAGAGCTACTGCTTCTGTGACCTGCTTTTTTTTTTTCCAGAGGTCTCCCATCCAAGTGCTAACCTGGCCCAACACAGCTTAGTTTCCCATATTAGACGAAATTGTGCTTTGATAAAGACGTTTAGTATCTATCCAACTTGTGATGTCATGTGGTAATACAGGAAGTGTTTTTATACACCTTCAATAGAATCATTTGGGTGATTTCTGCCTTTGGAGATATAGACAGACTAATAATAAAGGGTTACTCAAACATCTGTGAATGAAATGGCAGACAACTCCAGGTACGTTTTTGAGGAGGTAACAACATTATAACATAGCTAAAAGCTCACAAAAGTCAATTAGATTAATATAGGATCTTTGATTGATGGATTGATTTCGTTTTTATTTCGAGTTTGTGCCAAGAGAGAAAGAATAATCATATATACTATACACATTGTAAACAACA